GGGGATTAAAGCCTGGAATTTCTCTGGAATTTCCCTTAATTTTAATTTGTTCCTTCATAAAAATCCTGCTTCTCAACGCCTCAGTACATTTGATTGAAATTTCATTTCATTAGAGAATGATAACTCCAGAATGCTTTTTTTCTCTGATTGAGCACTCACTTCTTCATCTGTTCTTGCCTTTACTTGCATTCAAGATGTTTCCAAGCATATTTAGCAGCTATAAAATTGGTCGAATATCTGGTAATTTCCGATTACAATAATGGTCTACTGATTTTATGATAGCCTAGCACAGGGTGGATTTGATTTAAATCAAGTCGATTTAACTCACTAGTCAGTAAGACTTTATTTAAATTGTGATTTTTAAATGTAAAGACTCATTCTTACTAGTACTTATAATCTTTAATATTTGCAACTAAGTGAAGATTTCATATTTAGAATAATGTGTCAGATTAGTAAAACAGTTATATCAGAACTGATTTTAGTTTAATAAGTTAATCACTCCTATTTGGAGAACTACTTAAATTGTTGTATTTAACTAAAACAATAATATTATATAGCACACATATTTTTGTATTTGCTTAAATATCAGTGTTTATTAATTGAAGTGGTAAACAAAATACTGTACCTGTTTAAAACCAAACTAATTTCCAAACAATCTTCAAATCTAGCATTTAAGGTACAGCAGGAACTCCTCTATCTGCTGAATCTGAATCTGCTGATGCACTTACCTACTGCGTGAAAATACTAAATACCCCCAATACATATTTTCAAGGTGTATTTACCAGAACTAGCCACTAGAGGGATCCAGAAACTATGCAGTGTATAGCGGTGGCTACATCCACATTTTTCAGCATCCACAGGAAGGCTTGGAACCACCATTCCCTTTAAGTTTCTATCCTGCTGTGCAGGAGCCTCACTCTGTGTGCACAGGGGTTGGAGGAGCTTCATTTGAGACTTGATTTTAAAAAATGGCTTCCCGCTGCCCATGCACAACCACAACGGAGCTCTGGGGAAGCACACATGTGCACAGCTTAGAGAGAACATTTATTGGAACTGATCCCCCACAGATACTGCAGTCCTACTGTAATTTGCTCATCGTTTCTACATAGATTTGCAGAATAACAATGGGATAAAGATATTTTTCTGAACATTGTTTACTTTATAAAGTTTTACTGTGAAAAAGTACATGTTATATCTGCTTGGATAACTTGGATTAACTGAATTAGTTTGACAAAAATGTAAATATTGCATAAATATAAATTCTCATTCTACATAGCTAAGATCTATTTCATGCTGAACAGCCTTTGAGCTATAATGTATCTTAAATAGAAAACTATCTTTAGATTGATTTTTCCTCCAAAAGCATTTCATTAAAATAAAACTGATTTGAATCCCCAAAAAATCTGATTTAAATTTTAAAATTCTCATTTAAATTTTTAAAAAACTTTATTAAAAAAAACCATCGATTTTACTCCACTCTGGCCTAGCATGAGTTTTTAGGAAAGTAGTACATCTTTAAAAGTTAGTTTTGTGGACATGGGAATTGAGCCAGCATCAGTTGGTACTTGATATTATACCCAGCAATCCCTTATAGGGTTGACTGAATCAAGCACATTGATGTCCAAAATATTAAGACGTTTGGAGCACATGGGGACCTTTAGAGGAGTAACCCAGGTTTTTTCAGAAAAATACTGCCAAAAGGATGCTGAGAAGCAAAAGGAGTCCAAAACTGCATGATACATAGAATTGGAGCCTGGAATGTGGGAAGTATTAATCAAGATAAGTTTGAAATTGTGAAACAATAAATAGCGTATTTGAACATTTCCAAAGCATTTTATTATGGAAATGAAGAATTCATAGGAAATGATGTGGCACTAAAAAGTAAGCCAAAACAAAGCAGAAGTAATTAGAGGCTATAAGGAAAAGTCTGCCCAAATGTGAAGTCTATCAACATAACCCTCACTCAAGTCTGTACTTCAATCACCAGTGCTGGAGAAGAAATTAAAAAAATGTTTTTGTATCCAGGAGGAAATTGATCCCATACCAAAATACAGTGGGTTGACTATCATGGATGTCTGAAATGTGAACTTGAAAAAAATAAAGCAGAACCAAACATTGCTGGAGAATTTGGCCTAGGAATCAGAAATAAAGCAGGAAAGTGAGTCATAGAATTTTGTGAAGCCAATGGTTTGTTTATTGCTAATACATGTTTCAAGCAACCGAAGAGACAATTGTACACGTGGACATGATTGAATGAGCAATGCAGAAGTCAAATAGACTATATACTATGAAGCAGAAGATGGGGAAGCTCTGTTTTCCACAAAAACAAGACAAAGAAAGGACTGTATTAATATAAGAGAGCAGATGAGAACAGAAGTCTTTTAAGTATAGTGCCAAATGTAATTTACATAATATTTCTGAATAATACAAGACTAAAAACAGATTTATGCTAGCTTAATAGTTCAGTGAGGTATCTGGCTGCGGATCCAGGCTTGAGAGTTGGATTTCCTAATATGTTTTCTGGGGGAAGAGCCAGCCTGTGTAGCCTTGGGGGCAAGCTACATAGTCTGAAGTACCCATAAAAGAGACTGGTAAACCTGTTCTGAATACTTTATGCTTAAGAAATCCTGGCAAGGTCGCCATGAGTTGGAATCACCTTGACAGCACATAATTATTATTTAGAGAATAGATTTACACTTCTAAACTCAGTTGACCATGAACCAGAGGAACTGTATATTTTCAGAGAAGAATGCAAATAGACTATTTGTATAGTCGAAAGAAAAGCCTCAATCAGTGACTGAGAAACTTTTTAGAATTGTTTAATGAAATACAGGGTGTGTCAAAGCAATAAATTCAAGGTCAAAAGAAAAGAAAAACCTTGATGAGAGTGTCTGAAATTGTTAAAGACAGACAGGTTATGTGAAAATGACAGATGTACTATATAGTCAAAAGAAAAGTAATAGTATTGATGGATGACTGACAAGAGTTTTAAAATTGTTTAAAGAGAGAATATCTAAAGGTGACAGATATAAAGTCAGAATTCTGATTGCAACTTTTTAGTAATTTGCACAAAGGCTCTCTTCCATAGAACTTTCTCTTACGTCTGCATAGATTTTAGTTATGCATCGGACTAAATCCAAGTAGGTGCATTGGAATTAATGGGACTTCTGTTAATGTTGACTAATATTCCATTCATATAAATGAATCTGTTCTAGTGAAGACTTATACTGGCTTTAGACCATAGTTACATTTACTCTGTGTGTGTGTGTGTATGTGTGTGTGTCCATAGTTACATTTAGTCTGTGTGTGTGTGTGTGTGTGAGAGAGAGAGAGAGAGAGAGAACTATGCTTTCTTGACAAACATTAAATTTCCTTTGGTTTTTTCGGGACACAGAACTGTGCCACAGGTCCTATCCAATAGCTTAAACGATTCTGCTGCCTGTACAGTAGGTGTCACGGAAGGTGTTGGCCCATGACTAGTACTGAACTGAAGGTGGCAGCGCATTCAGCTTCTGTGCACAGAGTGGAGGAGGGGCTTTGTCTCAAGTAGCAAAATGTCTTGGCTCAGTATTGAACGAGAATATAGCCTAGTGAACTCCTTTCAGACTATTGCAGTCCTAATATGAATTATTTCCTTCATGCTGTGCTCAAGTGACAACCCAACTGTAGCCTTTATGGTTTATCTCTGGCTAAAATGTAAACTTGTGCAGGAGGGGTTGGAGGTAATTTCATACAACTGAGGGAAAGGGAGGAGAGGGTATTTCCACTCAGGATGACTATTTTTCTAACCTTTTCATAATCTTTCTTGGTCAGTCTTAATTTCAAATGCCCATAAATCTTAGCAGTGCAAAGTTAGAAAATTATTAAGGCCATGTTTTGTAAGCTAATGACTGCTAGGTGAAAACTGACAGCATATTCTTTAGTGATACTCAGTTAATAAACTAGCTGTTTATACAAGATGGGGAGGGGTCACTCCAGAAAGGAAATTCTGTGCTTAGGTTAATTATTATGAATTGTATCTTAGTCCAGAGCATTTCACTTTGGAGTTGAACATTTTGTTAACTGGGGTTAACCATACCTCCATTTTGTTTTATCAGTTGTCTTTCTCTTTTGTAGAATCAGAAGCTTTCTTGTCCCTTCCATTTCATGTGGCATCCCCAGCTGAGACTGGAGGCTACTTCATTTCAGCTATGACAGTTTATGCTTATTCTTTGACTAAGATTTAAATATCAAAGCTACGTATCAAAGGCTTTTATGTCATAGAGTACATTTTCCCTTCAGGGTACTTCTTATCTTGTATATTTGTGTTAGTAGCCAAGACGTACCTCTTCTAAAAGCCACCCACTGTTTTGGACATGTTTGTTTTACATGCAGTTTTGTGCTGAGGGGAACAAAAAGTGCCAGCAGGCTACTGAGTTTTAACATCTTAGCCAGTTTGTTATTCTGGCTCCTTCTTAAAGGTCAATGTCAAACTTCACTGGGGAAAAAAACATAATTCCAGAGTGGTCAGTCCATTAACCTTGATTCATTGTCCTTGTTGTGTTTAGAGGCTACATCATCTCCTTTTGCTAGACCTTGATGTTCTGTTTTTAGTATTCTTAGGACATAAAATTCATAACTCTGCATGTGGAGGATGTCTTCATAAATGACCAGTATAAATAAGCACATGACAAACCTTATTTACCCTTATTCATGTACACTAGTCTTTCTTGAAACAGAGGACTTTCCATAGGAATTCGTATTTCCAACTAGATGTTTGTTTATTAAATATAAAATGGAAGATGACTAAGACCGAATGGTGTTCTAGTAAAGTACGCTACACAGCTCATCTGGTAAATTAGTCTACATGGTAAAGTGCACATTAATTTTTCCAATAAAACATATTAGAAATTTTCACACCTTAAAATGAAAACCTTTCCAAGCAATAAAACATGCCTTTGCTGCAAAGTAAGCTGAACATTGAGTGCTTATCTGTTTTTGTTTTTAAAAATCTTTTTCAGCTGCTACATATCTGTATTGAAGGTTGGGGAAACTGGCGGTGGTCTGAGCCATTTAGTATAGATAACACAGGAACATTTATCAGAACTATTCAGTATAAGGGAAGAACAGCATCACTTATTATCAAGGTCCTGCAGTTCAATGGAGTACAAAAACAAGTAAGTGTGCTTATGTGTGCAATATATGGGGATATTTTTTTTAAAAAAAAACATACTACTAACTATAATTATGCCCAGTAATAGAAATAAACATTTTAATGCCTTGGGTTCAAGTCTACTGATAGAGTAAATTGCCTGAAAAAGCAAAATACAATTATTCTAAAGAGAATACCTATTGTAGTTTTAAGAATCCTGCTATTTTGTCAGTTTCATTTAGAAAAAAAACGAAGACAGGACAACACAAATTATACCTAGTTAAATAAATTCATAAAGAATAATAAAAACATTTGCACAATATGGCAATAGAATCAAAGTACTAGATGTGACATTTGTGCAACAATAAAAATGGGACCTTTCACTGAAATAAAACAATTATAACTGTATACTGCCCTTTCTATCTGAAGTAGCAGTTTTATTTTTGGATGGGATTACAGTACAACTCCCATATCCACAGGGGATCAGCTCTAAGCCCCCTGTGGATGCTGAAAAATGTGGGTTAATAGCAAATGCTATACATAGCGTGATCTCTGGATCCCTATAGTGACCAGTTCTAGTACATTCACTTTTAGAAATACATACGTACTGTATAAGATTTTTCTTTTAGTATTTTTAATATTTTCAGACCATGGATAACTGATCCCGTATATAAAGGGGTCCTACTGTGTATGTATGGGTTTATGACAGCAGTAGTTGGCCTACTGCAGATGTAACAATCTGATCCTGGTTTAAACGGGTTTGAATACAACTTAAAACAATAGTTTTCTTGTTCGCTACTGTGCTCCTTCACGGATTGCTGCCTTGTCATGGCAAAGGGGCTTGAGTAATTCAGAGAAGCTATGGGGTATGCCGTTTAGGGACACCAAAGACGGACCAGTCACAGTGGAGAGTTCTGACTATACGCGATCCACCTGGAGCAGGAACTGGCAAGCCACTCCAGTATCTTTGCCAAGAAAACCCCATGAACAGAAACAAAATGCTAAAAGATACGATGCTGGAAGATGAGACCCTCAGGTCAGAAGGCGTTCAACATGCTGCTGGGAAAAGCGGAGGACAAGTACAAGTAGCTCCAGAGCTAATGAAGTGGTTGGGCCAAAGTTGAAAGGATGCTCAGCTGCGGACATGCCTGGAAGTGAAAGGAAAGTCCGATGCTGCAAAGAAAAATACTGCATAGGAACCTGGAATGTAAGATCTGTGAACCTTGGTAAGCTGGATGTGGTCAAACAGGAGATGGCAAGAATAAACATTGACATCCTGGGCATTAGTGAACTAAAATGGACGGGAATGTGCAAATTCAATTCAGACAATTACCATATCTACTATTGTGGGCACAAATCCCATAGAAGAAATGGAGTGGCCCTCATAATCATAATCCGCTAGGGAACATATCAAGCCGATTCTGTTTAAGCTACATTGGCTACCAGTTGCTGCCAGGGCCCAATTCAAAGTGCTTGTTTTGACATATAAAGCCCTAAACGGCTTGGGCCCTAGAAACCTGAAGGACCGCCTCCTTCCATATGAGCCTACCCAGCAGTTAAGATCTAGCCAGG